GCGTTAGACATCGATTTCCGGTCCCTACACGTCATCAAGACTCCAAAAATACTCATATTGAGAGGTATTTCACAGAATTTCCAAGTTTTTCTCGCACCGGAAGCCGCCATATTGAATTTCAAAATGGCTTCAGACATCGATGTAGGGTCCGTACACAGCACCCCGTCTACAAAAATACCAATATGGTGAGGTATTTGAAAGAATTCCCAAGTTTTATCTAACCGGAAGTCACCATCTTGAATTTCAAAATGGCCTCAGACATCGATGTCTGGTTCCTACACGTCACCCCAATTCAAAAAATACCCATATTGTGGGAAATTTATTAGTATTTCCAAGTTTTTCTCTAACCGGAAGCCACCATCTTGAATTTCAAAATGGCCTCAAACATCGATGTTCGGTTCCTACACGTTACTCCGATTCCAAAAATACCCATGTTGTCGGTAATTTTGCAGTACTTCCCAGCTTTTCTCTAACCGGAAGCCGCCATATTGAAATAAAAATAACGTCAGGCATTGATTTCCGGTCCCCGTACGTCACCCAGATACCAAAAAATACCCATTTTGTGCGGTATTCGACAAAATTTTCCAAAAACTTGTTAGGAAATAAATCGCAAATAATGTTTTTTTACGTCTGTTTCGATTTACGAACCGCCGGTGTGGTTCGTAAATGGAGGAATAAAGGGTGATACGGTCAAAATTTGGTCAATATCAACTTGACGTATTTCTTTCAATTTTGCATTTAAAAAACCTGAACACCCCTCATTTTGAAGGTGTGTGTGTGTAGAATGTTGCTCCTATTTTGATTTTGGAATTCACTCTTCAGTTGTCAAAATGCCGTCCAAGCAAGAAGAGCAGCGTATCAAAATTTTGCTCGCGCATCGCGAAAATCCGAGCTACTCGCACGCAAAGTTGGCAAAATCGCTAAAAGTTGCCAAATCAACCGTTACAAATGTAATTAAAGTGTTTGAGGAACGTTTGTCGACAGCCAGGAAGTCTGGATCGGGGGGAAATCGAAAACCGGAAGCCACTGAGACGACAAAGAGAGTTGCCGGTAGTTTCAAGCGAAACCCTAACCTCTCTCTCCGAGATGCCGCAAATAAGCTGGGTGTATCGTCTACAACCGTGCATCGAGCCAAAAAACAAGCCGGACTATCGACTTACAAGAAGGTAGTGACTCCAAATCGCGATGATAAACAAAATACGACGGCCAAAGCGCGATCACGGAGGCTGTACACGACGATGCTGACGAAGTTTGACTGCGTGGTAATGGACGACGAAACCTACGTCAAAGCCGACTACAAGCAGCTTCCGGGACAGGAGTTTTATACGGCAAAAGGAAGGGGAAAGGTAGCAGATGTTTTCAAGCACATGAAACTGTCAAAGTTCGCAAAGAAATATCTGGTTTGGCAAGCCATCTGTACCTGTGGCTTGAAAAGCAGTATTTTCATAGCTTCCGGGACTGTCAACCAAAAAATTTACGTGAAAGAGTGTTTGAATAAACGTCTACTGCCTTTCCTGAAGAAACACGGTTGTTCCGTACTGTTTTGGCCGGATTTGGCATCTTGCCATTACGGTAAAAAGGCCATGGACTATTGTCAAGCGGAACCATGGGCTATTGTCAAGCGGAACCTAAAGAAGACCCAAAAAACTGCTAAGGGCGAGCAGCAGTTCAAGGCAAACTGGCTTTCTGTGGCGAAGAAGGTGGACAAGGTGGCTGTACAAAATCTGATGGCAGGGGTCAAGCGTAAGGCCCGGCAATTCGGATTTGGAAAAGCGGAAGCCTAACTGAATATTTTTCCTGAATTTTATACTAATTGAACTTGAAAAAGAAATTTAATTTGATTTTTTTAATAAACGATTTCACCGATTTACACGCGTTTTCCCTTGACCAAATTTTGACCGTATCACCCTTTACACTGGAACCTGGAACCTAATTAAAAAAAAACCACGATTGGAAAAAAAATCTTCGTCCGCAATCGAAAACAACAAACAGCCAAAACTGAAAGGGCCTAGCACAGGCCGAACATTTTCAATCCATTTAAATGATGTTTTAATGCATGATTTCAAACATGTGAACGCGGATTATGTTTAAGAAAATAATAAAATATTTTATTCTACTTTGTTTGACATGAAATACGACTCGAAACGCATGTTCATAGTAAAAAATAAAAACCTGCGATTAAACTGATAAATGAACCTACAAAAACTGAGTAGGCCCTTTTCGAAAAACAAAGCAAACTGACATTTCGGCGAATGAACACCGAGTCACTTTGCAACTCACCTAAGAATGAACCTCTCACCTCACCCGAGTCGACTGTCGGAATAGAGTGAGAAGAGTCATGTGACTGCGAGGTGACAATTGTCGTTTCACCTAATTCGCCACGCAGAATAACCCTGAGATTCTGGTCTTAATGAGGTTTTGGTGGATGTAATAAAGGCAAAGCCGTCTTGACCAGAGTTTTTTTTACCCTTGATTTGTTTTCCGTGCTGAGCACCAATGCTATCGACGCCAGGGAGGCAGCTCCCACACCTGGACCCTACATATCGACCCATCAACTCATGAACCGGGGACCAATGGCTTCACTTCCCTATTACTTCCGAAGGAAGGCGTGATCAGAGATTTTATGCCTCAGAACATCCCGGTGGCGCCGACTGGGATTGAACCAATGTCTGCTGGGGTGAAAGGTAATCACGCTTATCACTACACCACCGGCACCCCTACACCAGGGTTATAATGAATGTTGTTTTATAGTAGCCTTGTAGTATTTCATAAAACGTAAAATGTTACTCGGGATAGGTAGGGTCCAGGAAAACAAGATCGACGGAAAACAAATCAAGAAAAAAAGAAGTCGAATCGATTTGCGGTATTTAATGAAGAAGAGAAGTATAGTTTTCTCAATCTAAGTCCTAAAATTTAGCAATTTTTTAATTTATGGCAAGCAAATGAACAGTTTTGGACCGTTTCCCATACCTTTTCCCATGCAAATTATAATGATCTCCCGCAAATCTAGATAAAATTTAGAACAGCTGTTGGGGACCTCAATACGAATCGAAGGAGCTATGGGGAGTAGGGGGTTGTTAAGTTAACACATCCTAGTGTGCAAGTGAGGAAGAGCAACACAATTTGACACAACACGAATATCAAAAATAAAATAATTCCCATCAATGCACACTGGGCCAGAAATGCAATCTAGCGGAGCAAAATTAATAATTCCGAAACGAAGCATTTCCGTGACTTGGAGTCTTCGGTAAAATTTCTCATCATAATAAGGACCTTCTATTGACATTAACAAATAGGTCAAAACTCTTCCGCAAAAATGGCGCCACAATCTAACTTCTTTCTCTGACGTTTTAGAGACTTAGTGTCTTGCGCAAAGTTGTTTGTCTTGACAAAATAAACAACTCTTTTGAAAACGTATAATTTGCACAGCCTACTGGTTCCGAGTTATATGGAGTTAAAGAAAAAAAATTTGAAAAGTAATTAAGTGGAATTAAATGGAAGATAACCTTTTTTGTTGTTTTATGTTGAAAATATATTTTTTTTTCTTATAATGAGAGAGAGAAGGATTAGTAATTTCCATTTAATTCCACTACCTTATTTGTTTATCCAGATACGCGTATTTTGTCTACAATGTGCAGACTTCTTCAGTGTCTTGTACTAATACTCGACTCTAACGAAAAAAAACAACAATTTTTGAATTTTAATAACTCCCAAAGCGCAAAAAATCGCAACCCGACATTTTCAGCAAAAAATAAGCAATACTCGATAAACAAAATATCAAAATTTGAGAGAGGTATATTTTGGTGTTTTTGAGATTTCATCATTTTAGTGGAGCATGTATTTTTATATATATATATATTTGTAATGAATTGAAATGGCGTTTTGAAGACTTGACGACTTAGGCAAAGTTGTTTATCTTGATAAAATAAACAACTCTTTTGAAGAAGTCAAAACTCCACAGCCTACTGTTTTCGAGTTTCATTTCTGGCCCAGTGGGCAATTGCCTAACCAGTTTCATAATCAAAAATAGCCATTGAGTACAAATTTACTTAAAATTTCAATAAATCTGATAAATTCTAGGGTTTATCAAATGTTGTCAAATTCATAACAATTTTAATTTTTTAAATTGCAATATAAACATTACATTATACCTTTTCAATAGAATTCTACACCAAAAAATGGATGTAATGGAAAAACATTCCTAGCTTCAATAAACGAAGATAAGCAAAACATAATCAATAAAACAAAAACGAAAGAGAGATGCGATATTGTTTGCAATGAATGAGGTGCTCATGGACGGTGTATCAATTGAAAAAGCCAATCCAGTTGCCGGTCGCGTTGCCCCCAATTGCCCATTGGTCTATTGGCTGGAAAGTGTAAGATGTGTGGATTTGTCTTTGTCTTTATGTATGAGCTGCGTTTTGCCTTGCATTGCAGGTGTGTGTTAGCTATTGTGCTACAAAGTGACTTGAAATTTTGATTCTATTATTAGATCATGCTCTAGCGTGATTCGGGGCCGTGCTGTTCCGAGTTCGGTTCGGTTCCGTTCCGTTGTTGCTCGCACTTACACATACATAAGGTCTTCGAACGATTGATTGCTGGAAAAGAGAATCAGTTGCTTTTGTTGGTTTTGTATTCTGTTTGCAGATTGAATCTGATTTGTTTTTTTTTTTGTTTTGTTTGGAATATAATTTAATATAAATTGCTAGAATATACATATATAGAGATTTTTAATTAGAAACAGATAGACATTGGGTTTGCTGGTTGGAGATAATTTGGTTAAAATTTGAGAGACACCTAGAGACATCAATTTGGATTCGGCATGAGCAAACACATGGTTGTGAAAGTTGAAAAAAAAAATTTGATCGAATGCATGGATGTGTGTGAGAGAAACAACGAACGAAATGATGGACGGCGAGCGGTGAGGTATGGTGTTCGATGGAGAATATAGCAAGCATTCACTAAAGCATTGTATGTGTTCAGGATTTTGCGAGACTCACCTGGACCTTCGAATTTTGTAGTCGCCAGCGACGTTTGCCGGGCGCAGTGAGACACCCCGCAGTTGACTTCTTCGGTAGGATGAGGCGTGCGTTTCGTCTCCACTGTAGCTGGAGCTGGAAGAACTTCGGCTGGAGGTGCGCATGTAGGCTTCATCGTAGCGTCTTTCCAAGGTACTGCTGCGGGATCCGGAACTCTGGCGGGATACGAGTGAGGACTGCGAGCTGTTCATGTCACCTTTGCTGCGGGGTTTGTTTCGGTCGTCCGGTGTTCGCGAACGCTTTTCCGGCGTCAGCGAACGTTGCTTCTTTAGGTTTCGCATGCTTCCATACTCTTCGTTGTCGTAGAGTCGTTCAGGAGTTAGCGATCGTTGTGGTTTCAGGGCGCTGTGAGCGGTCAGGGTGTTCCCGGATCCGGAGTTTCCGAACAGGGCCCGACCCTTCATCTGGTTCATGTAGGAGGTGGTCGACTTGTAGCTGAGCGCCAGAGATGATGACTGATCATCGCTAGCGTTTTCTTCGTCGTCTTCTTCGACGCCGTCGTTGGAATAATCTGCAAAAGAAAGACCTTGGTTAGAGTGCATTTTAAGCCTGCAAACCACAAGAACCTTACCTGATCGAGCACCACTATCACAGGAATTGAGTCGGGCGTTGCCAACCGAATCGGAACGGAAACCGTACGACGGCAAACCGGTCGTCGAGTTGGCCTTGGTGGAAAACTGTGACCGTCGGGAGCGATTACCAAGGCCCGTCGTCATATTGGAAGACATCATCTGTGAGTCGAGCGATTTGTTCTTGTCGCCAAATCGCTTCAGAGATTCGTAGCCGGAACTGGTGACACTGCTGCCGGGGATCGCCTTCGGAAAGATGGGTGATTTGTCGTTGGCGCTGGATTGAGGGTTTCCGGGTTTCTCCTTTTTCGTCAGGTAGTTTGGAGAGTTGCCGGTTAAGGTTGAGAAAGCGGGCGTGGGAGATTTGTTACGTCGGATGAATGGTTGATCCGTAGTTTTGGGCATCGGGGATATAAGGCTAGAATCGAAGTCGAAGCTCTTGGAGAAGTTACTCGAAAAGGTTTGATTCAGCGAACGTTGCTGGGAGGCAGCTATCGGAGTGGTGTATCGCCGGTTGTCGTATTCGAAGCTCCGCGAGAAGACCATCCCCTTGGGATTGTGATTATCATTATCCACCACGGAGAGGAATATCCGGGTACCGGGTTTGATCTCGCTAAGGCGGGTCTTCTGTTTCGAGTCTTGGAAAGCCGGAGGCGGCGACAGAATCGGAGTCACCGGAGGTGGCGAGTTGTCTGCCAAGTTTCGTTTTATCGGAAGACATATTGGACGGCCACCGGACGATAGCTGTGGATCTATTTTCAAGATTGTCACATTGTCCTGTCGTTGTACTTTTTGCATCTGGTTCCGCCGGGATTCATTCCGATTGATCAGATCCTCCAGCTTGCTACCCTTGCCGTATCGATTCTCATCGTACTCGATGTATTTTCGGGAAACCCGTGGTCCAGCCAGTTCCGATTGGAATGACTTGGCCCGAACACTCCGGTCAATCGGGTACTGCGGCGGCTGACTGACCTGCACCCAGCCGGACTTGTTGAGGAAGATTTCATTCTTTTTCAGATTTTCACCGAATAAATAGGTCGGCTTATCGTTCGAGTTCCGGTAGTGCATCTCCTGACCTTCCGCTTCTGGCACTTGTTCTGTCTGTTGTTCGAGATTATCCTTTTGTTCGTTGCTATTCGTTCGTCTCACTAGCGCAGGAGCAACCTGAGCATCGTCACCGTCCGTCGCCGTTAGAAAACTGTTATCCGACGAGGTGGGATCCTGCTTCACGGGAATTTCCGGCAGCGGAAAGTCAATGATATCACATTCATCGTTGGCAATTAGTTTAGTGACATTATCGCCCTGGAGGTCCTGGGCCGGCGCAGAGCTATTTACTGTCTCTTTCGCGTGAGCATTGTCCCCCTGGGGCGATAATATATGTTCGTCGGGCGTAGAGAGCGATGGGAAAACGTCTGTCGATGGGGAGTTCTTTTCTTGCCTGAAAATAGAAAAAGAATGCAGAGGTGGTAAGTGATATGCGATGTCTTAAAGCTTCTTGCAAGGCTGTGAATCGTACGTCTTCAATCAAATTGAAGTTCAACTTCATTCGAACAGATTGCAATCACGAAAAAACGGCCATAAAGTCGAGACCCACTTCATAGATGGTATCATCCTGATTGCTATTGGTCGCTTCCAACCAGAACTAACCGCTCAATTTTAAATAAAATTCATCGGAATGAGCTCGTGACGATAAGAAGTTTGTGATTTTTATGACTGCGGTCTAGTGGTTATAGCTGTGACCCATGTCGACAGAGGATATTGAAAATTGGATCCGTCGGCGTCCGGAGCTTTAAAGGTTCGCTTAAAGTGAGTGAGAAGCACGCTGTCAGCGAGGCAACTTTTCCGATCGCATGCATGGGTGCCTTCCATAGAGGCAAAGCATTAGCATAATACGCTGTTTCCTAGGTTCTTGCAGCAGTTGTTGCTGCTGTTGTTGTTATTCTACGGCATGAAGCAGTAAATGCATTACCATAATCTCCACGAACGTACGGTACGGAGAAAATGGCGATGATTGGGATTATGAACGTTAGGCAGTAAAGTTGAGTCCTTGCCCCGGTTGTATCCTTGCGAACACAACATTTCTGCTCGTTTTTACGAGGCGAGTTATGAGTTTGGTGGAGTAGTTTGGAATATGTGCTATCAAAAATTTCAGTCGTTATTGAACCTTTCAGCACTCGCGCTGGTGTACAAAGTACAACACGAAAAAAATAATTAAAACCCTACTGACCTTGGAACTCGCTCAATGTGAAACTAAATATGTTTCATGAAATTGAATACCCATGTCCAAGAGATCAATACCTCAAGGTGAAAATAACATACTGTTGTATTTTGTAAAACGCGCGATTGCTCGTGATACAAAAATTGGCGCAAGTACTGAAAGGGTAACTCAGACTTAACTCTTCAATATCAGTAATCGTTCACGCATTTAACGGTTGATTTGAAGATTATTATTTCCGCAAACTACTCACCGCAGCGCTGATATCGGATCACTTTGACGTTTCTATATACAGGCTTCCATTGTCGATATGTCGAAATTGACAGTTATCATACAAATCACTATTACCAATAGATGGGGAATTGGTTCATCTGTCCGATGTTGTTATTCTTTTGCTTGATTGAATGATCGATTGCGAGAAATCGGCGATGGAAGTTAAAAATTTTTTGTTTATTAATTTATTTGGTAAGGCTCAACCGAATTAACTTTAATTAACAGAGCCGAGGATTCTTGGTCACTATACAATACATCTTAAAAATATAGTCAAAAGGTACAACACAATAAACACTTTATCTTCCGCTATCCAAAAAGCCTCCTCCATCAGAACTGGAGCCGCTTCCAGTAGTTTCATTGTATGGCAAATTGTTGTACGCCAACGAGGGTCAGAGCGCGTCCATTGCAGCAATGGACGCAAAACGTGGTCAGCACTCACACACTCATCACGAAACGGTTGCTTTCCAAAGTCGACGACGCATCGACCGAAAGAACTGCTGATGAAGAACAATGAGGAGGACCACACAATGGTTGCTGCCGAGAAAACAGACGATCGCGTAGCACACATCGAGAGTGGTCTGCTTTTGTCGACAGCCGAGTGAACACTCGGAAGTCAAAAATGCTAGTTACGTTATATCGAGGTATACCTGTATTCTGTTTACCATGCATGCAATATTGTTTGCGATTTACCGAGCAGCTTGTTTTCCGCGAGAAACCCGAAAGATGTCGCTTCTGAGTTCTTATGTATTGAGTTACTATGTTTTCAAGAAAAACTTATTCACAGACTTGCGTCTGTTTGTCTGTGATTTACTAGTTTCAAAGCATCCTGGGAATGAGATTGCGTTTTCAATTTTCACTAGAAAGAATTTGATACTGGCTGAATGTTTGAGAACCACTAACTGAAGGAAAATTATGAATACCTCCTCGATAAAGAATCTTGATAGTGAGCATGCATAAGGGCGTACACGCGATGATCGACTCTCTTCATCGATTTTCTCTTTGCATTGCTACAGCTAAGCGAAACAATTTTCTAGAATTTGTTCAATTGGCGTTGACGGCGACTCTGTAGCTCTTTACTCCTATGAGAAAATTCATAAGCAAACGTCAGACTGTACGTGAAACATGGCGGACTTTGTACTATCCTTTCACTCCACCGAAAATTCCCATAAGAAACTGTCTATATTTGCTGGAAGAGCAAATTTTTCGACAATGCCGTCAACGCCAATGCAGAGTTGTAACAGGTTGTATTGGCTATCAAAAGCAACAGCAAACACACCGATAAACGTTAATTCTAGCGATTTATTTATAATTATTATAGTCCATCTGACTTGATAGTCTCAATGAAACACTTAAATCTAAATGCAGCATAGTTGGTTGCATGTACTATTTCATGTAGCAAGGTTCTCGGACGGAGTGTTCAGGCAGGAGCATACAGATTAATTTTGGCCAGTAACTCAGGAACATCATATTCTGCGAGCAAAACTTTAGCAACGAAGACGACCTGCGATATGTTTCGTCGCTTAGCAAGAGTATCCAAACGACAGCGGTCAGCATACGGTGGTAAATTCAGCGGGTCACTCCATGGAAGATAGCGCAGTGCGTATCTGACGAATTTGCGTTGAACAGCTTCGAATCGTCCACTCCATACTGCTTGGTAGGGATTCCAGACAACACACGCGAATTCCAGTAGTAAGCGTACTAATGAACAGTAAAGGGCTTTAAAACACAGATGATCACGAAATTCCTTAGATATCTTGAACATGAATCCAAGCAGACGATTAGCTTTGTCGATCGTGGTTGAGAAGTGGCGAGAGTGTATGTGAGCTTTTCATCCAACATGACACCGAGGTCTTTAACGTGATCGACACGTTGAACTGCAGTCCCAGCAACGTTATAATCAAACAAAACGGAAGTCCTAGTTCGACAGAAACTAATTACGCAGTAGAGCGTCTCCATAGTGCGGGAAATTTCTGTTGACTAAGTGACAGGTTGAAGAGCAAGGACAACGGAGCAGCTAAAGTGGACCCTACACGATTACTTTTATTGACAATAATCGTATTGTCAATACATTCTATATTGACGTCAATATATCGAGATTGACAATATTTCTTAATTCACATCATCAATATTATTGTCAATAATTCCCCTTCGCGTCAATATATTGATGCGTGTGGGGTTTGCTTAAGATATCGGAGCATTTTTTTTAGGACAGCAGATGGAATAACACTCGGATCTGGTGAAAATGATTTTACTCATCACAGAGAGAACCATCCATGTTTACGACGTCGGTTGGCACATTATTAACAAAAGAGAAAATCGACGAAGAGAATCGATCATCGCGCGTACGCCCTTATGCATGCTCACTGTCGAACTAACTCTAGCGTTCAGAATCTAACTGCGTTGATCGATTATCTTTAGTTTCCAACTGGCTAAATATCTCAATAAAAAAAGATTCTCTTCTCCGATTTTCTCTTTGTATTTGAGCAGTTCCAGACCAAAACATTTGCAAAACATTTACTTAACCTTCTCCGATGTTCATGAAACATTGCATAAACAGTTATGGGCAATAATTCACATTTTTTTATGAATTAGACCATTTTAGATAATGTGAACTTATTCAAAATGGCGTATTTGACAATTCCAGAACAATATGTGAAAAGGGCATACAAGCTTTTTGTAAACAAACCTTTGTAGGCCCTTTTCTCACCAACTGAGGGTTGCTCACGCAAACCAGCAATATCATCGGGAAGGGGAAAGTGTCGTTGGGTGGCGAGAAAAGGGCATAAGAAGGTTTGTTAAACGGCGCCGGTGGTGTAGTGGCAAGCGTGATTACCTCTCACCCCAGTAGGCCTGGGTTCAATCCCAGTCGGCGCCGCCGGGATGTTCTGAGGCATAACATCTCTGATCACGCCTTCCTTCGGATGGGAAGTAAAGGCGTTGGTCCCCGGTTCATGAGTTGATGGGTCGATAGGTAGGGTCCAGGTGTGGAAGCTGCCTTCCTGGCACGTCGGTAGCATTGGTGCCCAGCACGGAAAACAAGATCGACGGAAAAAACAAACCAAAGGAAAAAAAAGAAGGTTTGTTTACAAAAAGCTTGTATGCCCTTTCACATGTTGTTCTGGAATTATTTATTGAGAATTACATTAGCATGAAAACGTGACTTCTGATTGAAATGACATCTGAGACAAACTTGAAGAGCAAAATATACACGGTAATTTTTTTAAAGTAATTTTGAGAAGAAATTCCAAAAGGGGCTATAAATTAAAATATCTTAAAATGTCCTTATTGAATTAATGATCTTTTAAGAAAAAAAACTCATGAAAAATACCACATTTTTAAATATTGAACATTAGACGCTTGAAAATTGACAAAACCGTAGGACAAGTACACTTTTTCAAGTACTGTTTTCACTTGAATCTATTGAAAATGCCACAAATATTGATATGTGTCGAAAATTACATTAACAAACGTACTAACAAAACTATATAAAATAGGGGAAAGTGGGGCAGTTTGGCCACCTTAAGAAAATCATCCCTAAGCATACAAAATTCAGTGAAAAATTCAAATGATGTTTTACCAAATGGATAGTTTCAAGCCCTATTTACATCATAAAGTAAACTTTTGAATCTTATGCAAGAAGAATTAAAAAAAGATCCTTATGTAACCGATATTAAACCATTGCGGTAAAATGAGCACCCTGTCGGGGTGGTATGAGCAACCTTGTAAACAATGGGAAAGAACATTATGTGCTCTTGGAGCATTATGAAGGGTCAACAATGAACAGTTTTAGTATAAACAGCTTTAACAGAAACAATTATTTTCTGTAGAATAAATTAAATTTCAGAAGTACTGCCTATTTAATGCTTTATTTTTTTAATCTTGTGAGTGACAGATTTTTTTCACCAAAGCAGCTGTTTTGAAACGTAATTTCATATGATACAGTCATATTT